TCTTTCCTTTGACTTTTGCAAAGAGCGTGCCTCGAATACTCCTAATGGAGCTTAAACGAGTTGTCGACGATGACAAGAATAGGGGAGAGAGAGAGAGAGAGAGCGAGAGAAGGCTCGCGAGTTCCTATAAAATAGCAGTTAGAAACGACTTAACTCTTAGGAGTGAAAGTGGCGAAGAATCCTTCGACGAATGATCGTATCGTCCAAGGAGATTCTTCTCCTCGCGAAGGAATCCTTCCTGCTGTTTGTTAAACAACAAAGTTTACAAAGTACCTACGAGATATCCAAAATGTTTTTTACTTGGGGTTTATAGGAAAGCCAAGAAGAAGACGACACCTGTTTTTGCAGCTTTGGAAAAGAAGAGAGAAATTTTTGTAGATGGAACACACCTGTTTCTGTTTCTGTTTCTCTCTATTCCTTAGTCCGCTCTCTCACGTTCCTCGCATTATAATGCATTCGAGAGAAAGAGAGAGAGAGAGAGAGAGAGAGAGGGAGAGAGAGGATAGTTTTCGTGTCGTGACGTCACGAACGGGATAGAAAGTCGATAAGAAAAATCTACATTCCTGCATGCGTTCTCTCTCTTGACATAGGCTTGCCGTCGTGACGTTAAGTCATGCCGTCATCCTTTTCTATGAACGTTCTATGAAGATTTCGCGCTAAATAAGAAAGACGATTGAAAGGAAGATTTATAGTAGAAACGTCCTTAACGAATTGAGTTTTGACGACATGAAAATTGGCTAGAGGTTTTCGTTTGCAAAGACACGCTGAAAATTAAACGATCTCCTTCGAAGTAGAATTGACGACGATTCGGTAGCTCTTCTCGCGCAGTTCTCCTTTCGTTTCGAGTTATCTTTCTCCTCCTCGTTTCTCCTTTTATCTTCCCTAATTTGAAGTCGTCAAATTGAAGCACCGATTATCCCTGCCGAGTTTATTCGAAGTACCGATTATTCGTAACCGCTGACCGTAAACCGCGAAACGTTTTCGAACTGACTTGAGAGAGAAAGAGGGAAAATAAAGACCAAGGAAGAAGGAAAGAAAAGCTATCGATCGCAAATCCGTTTTAGCGGAAAGACGCTAGCTTGTTGCTTTATTAATCGTCTCCGATTTTCTCGCGAAAATTGTAAACCTTCGGTTAAAATTAGTAGGTCATCTTTTATTTCCAAAGAGGCGCATTCGTATTCGTCAATTAACGTTAAATAATTGCTCAGCGTACCCGGCGAAAAGAAACAAAAGAAAATGAAAAGATATTCGTTTTGTTCGAATCGAAATCCTTTGGATAATTCAGTTTTCCAAATTATCGCGAGTTCGCTAATAAAAGGTCAACTCGGATTTAAAGGAGAGCGCGCTTTTATTTACCACCGACGTACTTGTCGTTTTGTTACCGATGGCCTGCCTAACGGTATTTCTACCATTCGGTTGGACATTTTAAAAAACGAACTCGTTGTTTATTAGCAACGTTTCGGTATACCGACATAGCGCAAATCGCGTGTACAGTTACGGCACACATACCGTACAAAGCTTGCTTTAACTCGAACGTATATGAGCGGGAGAGAGAGAGAGAGAGAGAGATATATAGTCGTCCCGTCTTTTTCCCTCATAATACGCCATAAATTCAATTAATCCGCTAAGATAACCTATCGGCCGAATAAATATACTTACTCCTCCGCAACTCTCTCTTACGCAACTCGGCAAATAATATTTTTCCAATCTTCTCATTGCCATTCTCGATTTCGCGAAAACAAGAGGAAACTGAGCGTTTCCTTAAAGAGATCATCGCGTCAACTAATTATAGAAATGATTCGTTTGATCATCAATAATGCGAGATTGATTGTCCTCGTTGACGTTAAGAAGCCTTGGATGTCGTAACCCGAGTCGAGCGGTTCGTTGCTCTTGCTGGCTCCTCTCTTGCAGCAGGACTCTCGCTCGGCAAGGATCTTTTGCGATTCGCTTCGACGAGAAGAGAGAGAAGAGAAAGAAAAAACAATAAGAAGGGGACAACGCCATGGCCGCATACGTACCGAGTTCCAACAGCGGTCCAGCGAGTTCGAATGGCAGCGGTCACGCGACCGCCAATTCACAATACTTTTCTAGTTTATCCTTCTTCGTAGCTAACAGCTTTTCAACAATTAGATGTTTAAGCGCGAATTCCGCAAACACGACTTTCTTTTCTGCAACCTTGATTGGGGGAAACATGCCTCGAGAAAAAAAGGGAGCTCCATTGACAGAGTTACGTTGTTCTTCCTCTGATTACAATGGCCCTCCGAAGGGTCTTATTAGCCTCCATCTCTCTCTCTCTCTCTCAAAAAACGGGTAATATTGCAATACAATTTAGAAGAACGAGAAGTGCTCAAAAAAGTATGTTTTACGATGCCAATAAAAATTAAATGTATGTAAAAACAAATAGCTGAGAAAGCTAAATAAATATCTATCTATCTATCTATTGGGGCCACATTTTTTCAATTAGTTTGTCATATTTTTCGGCAGAATGATGATTCGTTTCGGTCGGCAGCCCCGTAAGTATTTGGTGCACGCGTAATAAGATCTCCATTAGCGATCCGTGCATCTCCGGTCGGATCTCTTCGTCTTACTTTTGATTATTATTATTTTGTATGGCAACGGGAGGTAGGTAGGTAGGTAGGATCGACGACCGTTCCGATACCGGCCACGCTTTCGCCCGTTACAATCGTCGACGACGAGGAACTCGAGTAAATTAAAAGGAGAAGACCTCCTCCTCCTCCCCGCCCGATCTCTCATTGAACGTTTTTTTTCTCTCCATTATTATACCAAACGATTGAACAACGACGTTGGGGCTTGTCTCGAACATTAATCGCTATTTTTGATTGACAGGAATAATCCCTTCGATCTCTCTACCCTCCTATTTATTTCGAAATCGTGTGTTCCGTATATTCTTGATAAATGCCTAAGCTTAACACGCGATTCGACGTTCTTATCTCTTTAGAAATATAGAAAAATTCGTCTCTCTATCGTTATCGTTTTTACTTTTTTTTCTTTCTTTCTTTCTTTCTTTTTCCATTGGACTGGATTAACGCGAATCGAGGAGGAGAAAAAAAAAAGGAAAAGAAAGAAACACGATCTTGATCGAAATGACGCGGACGTGCGTCGTCGGCGATTTTACGAATGCAAAGCTGACGTCAAAATCGCGCGCGATGCAATATTTAATGTAGAAGGCAAAAGAAAAGAAAAAAGAACAGAAAGAACAAAATCTGGGCAAATTTAGACGCTTATTTAGAACGTACACAACACGCGAGTACATATACAAGCTGTTAGCGAGCGATAAATTTCGAAACGTGTACTCTTCGACAAGGCACGTACTACGTACTCCGATACGATTGTCGAATAAATCTCAAAACGATGTTCGTATTCTCGAAGGCGTGAAGAAATCTCTTATTACCGGTGAAAACACACGAGATTGCAGATTATTCACGGCTCTTCAGCTATATGTTTTTCCTTCCGCGTTTACGACGCAGTCGTGAGCTTCGTCCTTGCTAGAATTGCGCGATAGAAAGATAGATAGACATATATATACATATATATATAGAGAGAGAGAGAGAGACTTTCGAAGGAGCGCCGAAGGAGAGGAAGGCCGAACACCTCGAATTCCATTGGGTATCGCGCGCGCGCGCACCCGCAATTCTGAGCAAAATCGGTTAACGCGAATTCGCTTTTCCTAAAGAAAAATCAGACATTTCGTTTACACTGTCAAATGCATCGTTCAAACGTTTAACAAATTCTTACCTTAGACCCTCTTGCCTCGATCTTATCCGAAAAATCCGGCCTGTTGATTTCCGAACGAAAAAGAATCCTTAATAACCCAAAAACCGGTGGAGGCACTTGGAAGAAACACCAACCAGCGTTCGAAGCTTGATCTACCCAGGAGATGGGAAAGAGAGAGATAGAGTGAGATGGATAATGTATGGGGGGAGGAGAAAGAAAAAGAGAGAGAGAGAGAGACGGATAAAGAAAGAAAAGAAAATAGAATTACTTCAGAAATCCTCGTACAGCTTCTCTCGATCTTCAAGTCCTTTGGAGAGATTTATCACGGCACTCGCGCACAGAATACAGAATATACCGCTACTAAACTTGTTCGAATCAGGAGACGCACGAGGACGAATCCAACGGTGGTAGCGGCGATTGACGCGTGCGTGCTGCGTTTGCGTGCGTGCGTGCAGTGCGTGCGTGCAAGCGTCTTGCGTCTTACGTCGTGCGTCGTGCGTGCATCAATTTTCTTCTATGTTAAGATGTTCGAACGAGCCCGAACTAAGGGGGTCTGTGCCAATGTCTCCGAGCCGCTTTCGTATTCGCCCGCTCGACCGACTTGCCATTCTCCCTACTTAACTTCTCTTCCTGTTCAATAGACTCCCCTCCTTTTTTACCCTCTCCAACTTTCAATTTAGTGGCGCGCATTTTGATTGTCCGTTAGTGTTATGCGCGCCATCTATTTTCTCTAATTGACACTTTCCTTTTCATTTTATCTGAAATAATATTAACAAATAATATTTATTTATTTCCAATAATAATTGCCTATTTCTAATAATAATTGCCTATTTGAATATATGGATATTGAATATTTATTAATAATCTCTATTTGATCGTATATAAAATAAATCAAAACGTACAAAAATATCCTATTATATATCATTTGCGAAATGTAACAAAATGATTTTGTTTTTTTTTTTTTTGAAGTTATTTAACTTACTACGATTCGTCGATTATATTGTCGATAGATTGTACGATATAGAAAACTAAAAATACCTTTATGAATATTATATCTCTGTAGATACGTTGAAAATTTGAAATTAAATCGATATAGAATCTGTAGATCACACGCACGGTGGTACAATGGCGGACTCGATCGTTGTTTTTTTTTATGTCGCCAGATGTCGACCCAATCGTCGTTATTTTTTTTTACGTATTTCTATTGGTTGAAAAAAATACCGTTTGACCAATAGCGTTTAATCTTCGCTTTCATAGAAACTGCAAGTGAATACGCAGCTTTAGATGCATTTCTATGTTTTTCTCAAAATATATGGAAAACCACGCTGTATTTTTCTAATTTATTATTTTATGAAAGTTTAGTATTTATTTAATGCTCATTATATCAATTGTTGCATGATAATGGCCGAAACCGAAACTTTAAATAACGTTATAACTGTAATCGACGATAACACGCGAAATTATGAAGAATTTCTAAGGTATGCATAATTGGTGTAAATATTGGTTATAAGGTATTTTGCCTTTAGTACTCTGTATCAATACTGCACTTTTTTTTATACACTTTCTTGATGGATCATTAGCCTTTTCTAATAAATAAATTCAATGCAATTAACTTAAAAGTGTATCTAAAAATTGAACCCATATCACTATTTATCCATTATTTTTTACATTCGTTTGTTCTCTTATATTGGAATAATTTCAACGAATGTTTTTTGAATATAATTTAACTAACTAATAAAATGTTTCTGTTGTGTTTAATCAAGCGTACAGGATACTGTTTCGGTCCATTTCCAAAATGCTACGAAACAACTTTATGACTTTACAAAAGAACAAACAAAAAGAAATACAAATGCACTGCCAGAATTATTAACCGATGGTTTTGATGAGGAACAAATTTGGCAACAATTAGAACTGCAGAACGAAGGGGAATTAGCACATTTTTTAAGTGACGTATCCAAATTGTTAGCTGGAAACAAAACGCTGACGTTACCTATTTCTCCTACAAAGCCTGAATTAATAGAAAGTAAAGATGAAGATGCCAAAGTTGAGGGTATATCGAGCATGGATCAACAAAAAGAAGAGGAAGAGGAAGAGGAAGAAGAAGAACAACAAGAATTGAAGAGTAGTTTGAAAAAAGCTAAGAGGATAAAAGGACAACATCAAAAGAGGTCTATCGTAGATGATAAATTTTTTAAACTACAAGAGTTAGATGAGTATCTTACTAAAGAAGAAAGAAAAGAAAAACAAATTAGGAAAGATGCGGAGGAGTCGGACGAAGACAAAGACGACAAAGGCGACGGAGAATCTTTAGATTTATTTAATGATATTTCAGAGGACGAGGGCGATTCTTCGAAAGATGGAAAATTTATTAAATATGCAGACTTCTTTGATAATCCAAATAGCGAGGATGAAGGCGAAGACGGTAAAATATTTCCCTTTTCTAATGATAGGGATGAAATCGATGAAAAAGAAGATAACGAATCGTTTGAAAATAGCGAATTAGAAGATGTTGATGAAGATGATACTGATTTAAAACCTATTAGTAAAAAAGTTAAGTTCAACTTGACAAATGATTCGGATGAAACCGATAGCTTAGAAAACAAAATAGAGAATAAAGAGAAAAATGTAGAAACTAAATCGTCTCTTGAAGCACGTCAAGAACGTTTGCAAACAAGGATACAACAACTGGAAGAAGAAGCTCTCGCGGAAAAGCCCTGGCAATTAAAGGGAGAAGTAAACGCTGCCCTCAGACCACCAAACTCTTTATTAGAGGAGTATGTGGAGTTTGATGTTAGCTCCAGACCGCCTCCAATTATCACAGAACAAACTACTTTTCAGCTGGAAGATATAATAAAGCAACGAATAAAGGACAAGGCTTGGGATGACGTTGAAAAGAAATTCAAGCCTGTCGAAACACCTTTGGAATATAAGAAAAAATTAATATTAAATCAGGAAAAGAGCAAAGAAAGTTTGTCTCAAATTTATGAAAATGAATATCTTAAGCAGAAACAAGCCTTAAATCCAGAAACTAAAGAAGTCGAAGAAGAAGAACCAAAAGCACACGTTGAAATTCGTGAAATGATGGAATCCTTATTCTCAAAATTGAATGCATTATCTAATTTCCATTATACTCCGAGATTGGTACGTGTTTGAGATATAATATTCATATTAATTCGTATATATAAAGGTATTTTTTAAATAGATTGATAATATATTATATATAAATTCGTTTCCTTGTAGGTTCAACCTGAAATTAAAATTATTAGTAACGTTCCTGCCATCAATATGGAAGAAGTTGCCCCAGTAGCGACCAGCGATGCTACCTTGTTAGCGCCCGAAGAAGTTCAAGGTATTTACTGTTTTGCATATTAATTATATCACCTCAATGTATTCAATTTAAAAATATCCTGATTTATTCATTTTTCTCTTTTTTCTAGCCAAATCACGAGGCGATATCATTGGTAAATCGGAGCGAACGATCACCGACATGAAACGAGAAAGGAGAAAGAAAAAACTCAAACAAAAGGAACGACAGAAAGATCGAGAAAGAAAAGAACAAATAAATTCAATGAAACCAAGAATAGATAAAAAATATAAAAAGAACGTAAACTTGGAATTGATGAAAAAATTAAGCAAAGATAGGAATATTACAACGGCGGATGAAACAATGAACAAAGTCGCCAAATCTTCGAGCGCATTCTTTAGCCAACTACAGGACCAAGTTAAAAGTCACATCAAGTCCAAAGTAAATCCAATGTCTAAAGACAAAAATAAAAAAGCATTGTCTGCTGCCAAATTAAAATTGTAAATTTTTTGTATATAAAATATATATATGTTTTATATTAAATAGAATTTTATTTCTTTTAATGAAGTTGGTCTATTTTTGATCTCGAGTTTTTGACGATAAGTATGTGTGTGTATGTGTGGTCGTTTAGGATTGAGGAATATCTTTCATGAGTATGAATAAGAAAATTTCAAATATTTAGAAAGATATCAATATTAAATACAAGATATTTAATCAACTGTTACCTACACATTTTGATATCTTTCGGCTTCTTCGCTATTATAATTATTGTCAGAGGTAACGTTGAAACTACATTCGCACAGGATGATTGATTGAAAAAAATCGTATATATATATATGTGTATACCTCATATATTATTAGTGAAAAATGTTCCCAATTCATCATGATATGCTGCAATTTAGTTTGGATCTGCTTATCGAAAGTTTTGCTAGACATGTACAAATGCACTGAGTCACACGTGGTTACTTATAAATGCAATTATTTATATGTATAACATTATCTATATTTTTCTTTAAGAGTATCTAAAAATGGTGTTTTGCACAGAGAAGCAAAGTGGGTTACATAATTTTGTACATTGTCAAGTTTGAACAATTTCCGTCAAATGTTGATTTATGATTGCACGGTTTATAATTACAAAGATCTAAATTAAAAATAATTAAGCTAACCTTATATGTCTAACGATAAGCTGGTATTAAAATGATCATGCTTTGTATAGATTCGATTGATTAATTTGAAAAATATTCCTTTTTAATAATCAAGTAACACATTATCTAATTCATATCTTAAAAAGAATTTGTTATGTATACAAAATGAAGTATGAAATATTCTAATGAATAAAAAGATCATATTACACTACTTCTTTGAACAAGGACAAATAAAGTTTAAGACATTGGTGATTTCAGAAGATTGCAATCGTTACTTATCATACCACACGTATTTATATATGCCATGTAAAGCAGGCTTCTATCTTCTGAACACGTTGCAATGTCTACTATAAGCTTCAAAATAATAAACTACTTTGAAAGAGAAAGAGAGAGAGAGAGAGACACACAAATTGAATCAATAAAACACAAAGTTTGTCATTCCTTTGCAAATTATTAAATCATATTGACTATAAAATAATGTGGGGATTTTCGCACTCTTGCGAAACGCATTATCTAAAATAATCGAATTCATAATTACATTAAAGAAGAATAAAATATTTAAATATCTTCATATAATTACCTTCGTGTTAATAATTATTAACTTTGCTTTTTTATTCTTTTTTGTAATTTATCTGTTAAAATATCTGTTAAAAACACATAATAGGAGCAAGCATTCTCTAATGGCACTTTAGCTAAATAATAATATCCACTGATCTTAATAAGAATGCATTGTAAAATTCATATAATTTTGAGAGCATAATTCAAAAAAGTCCTTGGAAGAACGTAATATCTGAAATGCATGCGGAAAGAAATAATCGATTAGTACCTAATCATTACGCTAATCCAATCTGATGATAACATAATGTTTATAGAGCATATAGAGAAGGTGCTAATCATAAACTTTGCACAAGTCGAAATAATTAAATAAGAGAATGTGGATTAAGATGCTTAGAATAATCCAAAAAATGATAAGAACTTTAAGATGTAAGAGTGTCGGCAATTTTTGTCGTTGGTCGCTACTCAAATGTGGTAGTAAACATATTTAACTCTTCAAATCCGGAAGCGCCACCTTGGTCTTGTAACATTTGTAACATATCTGAGAGCTCTTGAGGTTGAGTGCCAGGACCACCAGCCTGCGTAGGATGAGGTGGCTGCGATTGGCCAGTAACTTGTGGATTTGATTGTGCAGCATCTTGTTGTGGCGTTTGGTGTTGCTGTCCTTGCCATCCCCACATACCTATATAAATAATATATTATTAAAATAAATGTAAAAATCGTCAATAAAAATATTTCGAAAGATGAATTTTCTACCCGGATTATTAGGCACTGTCGTGACTGCGTGATATTGCGTAGCTGGCGTTCTTGCACCGCTACTCAATTGCGTATAGGTCGGTCCACTCGGTGACCTAGACGGACTTAATTGACTGTATTGATATCCTTCTGTTACAGGTTGCTGCAACATATATCATTTATTTTATTTTTTAATAAAACTTCTTCAATAAATATATATATATATATACCATTTATCGTACCATTATTCGTTAATACGACAAGTTTCATTATTTATGCATCGTTATAAAAATTACCTGACGACCAATTGCCCATGCTTGTTGTACAGGAGTCGGAGATGTATTTGCAGGTTTTTGAATTCTACTTAATACAGAAGAAGTTGTACTTTGTTGACCAGGTGAACCGTAAGCTATAGGTGACTGCGTAGTCTCGTACCCTTGATAAACATTTTGTGTACTGGACGGCCTAGGTTGCTGTGGACCTACGATAGTCGTGTTGCATTTAAAATCATGAACTTTTAAAATGATATTCGTATTTCATAAAAAATATATACGAATTCTGTCTCACCAGCTGCGGCGACAGCCGCTGGATGTTGCATCATGTGATGCGCTGGATATATAGGATCCCTGGTGGGATGTCTCTGAAGAGAGTAATCTAGACCAGGTTGTCCATAAGCAGGTACAGCTTCGCTTTCCGTTTGCCCATCACTACCGGAATGGAATGACCTTTAATTATTGAATATCGTTAAAAGTATGCTCGTTAAATATGCTTTGTGAAAATTGTAATATTGTAAAAAGAGTCTTACTTCGCATGGGAGTTTGTGCAAACGATGTACTCCACGTCGTCGCTAAACGGATTTAAAAAGGCAAAAGCCGATGTCCTCAACCATACCCAATCACGATTTTTAGCTCGAAATCTATACATCACAGAAACCACTTGTCCTTTCAGCTTCAAAACTAAATAAAAAACGATTGTAGAGTGTTCAGAAGTATATAATCACGTAGATGATAGAAAGTTGAAAGATTTGGCGTTACCTTGTTCGAAGCTTTCACGCATATGGGTTTCATCCTCCGGATGAAAGAATTGGTAGCATTTATGCCCTAAAAGTTCCGAAGGTGTATACCCTAATATTCCACCGACTCTTTGGTCCACGAAGGTAAACGTACCTTCCGAAGAGTGACGTGAAATAAATTCTGAAATATATAATTTACGTTTAAAAAAAAGGGAAAAGAAAAAAGGTAGATAAAAGAAAGAAAGGAAAGAAATGTTCTTACCGCTATTGCTATTGGAACCCGCTAAATCATTAGTATTTGGTGTACTAGTGACCTGTAATCGGCCAATGGCTACAAGGCAGCAATGCGTAGATGAACTTTCGTCGGTAACTACACCGTCGGGTCCAGTTTGAACGCCTCCAGGCCCCCTGTCACCTAGGCCCACACCTGGTACACATGGGGTAACAAAATCACCTACAGCGTAAAACCGTGAATCAATGAAAGATTCTTCTCTGATCGGTAACATAGAGATGTTACACAAATCTTAATAGGGAGCTCTAACAAGCATCGGATCGCATTAGCAAAGTACGAAGGAACGAAAGTATGGTATGTATGTATTCCATTGAATTCCAAGGAATATGAAATGAACGAATAGAAAATTTCACTTCATTTCGCATAGTTAGAAGAGAGAGGAGGGAGAGGGCTGTTTGTTATTTTCCTTCGTTCGAAATATCTTTGGGTGAAAATAATTGTGTGCTTATTCCGAGGGCCGAGGAGGAATCGACGTTCTCTCGGTTTATGTCCTTTCCGTGCGATCGCCGAGAGATGCTTAATTTATAGGAGGTATGTACAACATACGTCCTCGGTATCGGCGTATTCTACGAATCGTAGGTTCGTTCATATTCTCCGAGCACAACGCGTCTCCCTCGCTTTAAAATAGAAAGTTGGCGCTACGTCGCGTTGTCGCGACCGTTATGTTGTGTCGAGGATTACGATGAAATATTGGAAGTCAAACTTACCGGTGGGAGGCCAATTTTTGATGTATCCTGTACAATGAACAACGGCGTAACTTTGCCCATCCCTGGCGGGCGGACCTAAAGAATTTCTTTGCTTTATACGATGAAGACCGTGAGCGGCCGCCATGTCACCCGTCGTCTGTAAATTCCCTACTTTCATTCGACAGATGAACCCTCTTCTCGAGCCCATGCACAATCTCATGGACGCTGTAATATATTATAATTAGATGATTTATGTCTTAGAACTAGACGATTATCCGACAGCATTAACTTACATTGACCTTCTCTCTTGACCGTCCCGGTCTTGAGATCTAATACTCTTCCACCTTGCTGAGGTTCAGCAGCGCTGAGTTGTTCCCGTACTTTTTCGGTATCATCCGGATGTATTTGAGAGTAAAGACTCGTCCCGTACCAATCGCTCTGCGTGTAATTCAAAACAGGCGCGACCGAATCGGAAACGTAGATGATCCTACCACTGTCGCAACTCACTACGAAAAGGAATCCATCGGCGGCTTCTAGGATCAGATGTTTCAGCTCTTGGTCCGTTAAAAAGGATGGTTTGTACGCGTTGTCGGTCGCTGTGTTTCCGGTCCCTGAGACAAGAGACAACTTTCAATTACATTGTTTTTTAACCAAGAGAGCGACGATTGATCGTAGAAAAGGAAAGGCCAAAGAAACCACCTACTTTGGTGATTTTTCAAAAATAGGATGAAGGAAAGAAGAATCTTGGGTGATCGGTTTAGGTGCGATAACCCGGTCGGACGGTAAGTTCGCCGGGAGGCTTCCAAGTACGCGAGAAGACAAGGAGAAAGAGAGAGAAAAGACGACGGTGGTACCAAAAACGAGGACGGGGCACCTCGCCAGCGCGGAGGTAACTATCGAGGTGCAAGATCGGAATTGCAAAGCGGATGGGATCCAAAGAGGCGGGGGAGAGGCGGGGGAGAGAGAGCCTCGCGATGCGATCTTTACCCCGATATACGGAGAAATTCCGGGAAGAGATACTTTAACGACTTCCAAACAAGATCTATGGAAGACCCCCGGTGACCTTCGTTACCATTAGTTTCCACGTGGCGAGCGTCGAGACGCCTTTGGCTCTTCCACGGAGATTCTACCGGCTTCTTCTTCTTCTTCTTCCTTTGCATCGGATCATCTCTTCCCAACTTATCTTTCTTTTTATTTTTCCTCTACAAAAATTCAACCCTAAGGGTTTCTTTACCACGCGTTTCTCTCTCTCTTTCTCTGTCTGTAATGAATATATATATCTGCTATCAACGAATTCGCGGGCAAGAATTTGTTGGGGACTTGTTGTTCGATAAAAGCGGGTGGGCTAGATGATATCTCATTGATGTGAAAAAACGATAGGAAGGAGGTGGAGGAGGAGGAGCTGGTAGGTTGGATCGAAACGAATCGATGTAGTCGTTGGAGAATTGTTCGCGCGCGAGCTTTCGAACGGTTCTTTCACCGTCGTGGTCGTCGTCGTCGACGTCGATAGACTTTTATCGCTGCACGGCTCGTTAACAATCCGCAACCGGTGACGTAGACAGAGAGAGAGAGAGGGGAAGAGAGAGAAAGAGAAGGCTCGAAAGCGTCTCCTCTTCGACTTTCGTAAATATCTATGTACCAAGTGCATCGTGCATCGAACGAAGTTATAAGAGGAAGAGGGAAAGAGTGGAGAGGCTCGTGGAAGACGGCGTAAACGACCGTCGACACATCCCGGAGGCGATAGCCCCCCTCCCCTTTCCCCTTTTTCTCTCTCTCTCTCTCTCTCTCTCTCTCTTTTTCACTTCTTCGGATGGCCAGGTAAAGAGAGAAAGAAGGAAAAAGATGGTGAAGAAAAGAAGAGAGAGAGAGAGGTCCTTCTCCCTTTCCACCCCTCTACCCCTCTCTCCTTCTCCTCTTCCTCCTCACCTTCTTTTTCTCTCAGCGTTAAGCAATTTGTATTCAGCGGTTCTCTTGTCGGGAAAGAGGAGAAGTGGCTATAAACAATGCGACGCACCACCAATACTTAGGTGGAATCACGGCACGCACACACCACGCCTATGCGTGTCCGAAGGTAAAGGGACAGCCGACGATGGAGCAACTCCACCCATTCTTACACCGGAAGCATATATCGCGCTTTCTGCATTCGATATGACCGTAGTACGACGACCACCAAACCATCCGTGGGTTACGCTCGTTCCGGTACTACCTCCGAGAGAAATAGAAAAAAAAAGCAGCTTCGAATTAAACCCTTCCTTACTTTTTTCCGAATCATCCTCCAATCTACGCGAGTAGATTAGAGTGGTATACTTTGTAAATACTTTATTTCTCCTTGTTGTTTTTTTTCTTTTTTAGATTATTTTCTTTCTCTCTCGGATAAAATTTCGATTACATCATTGCCTTCGGGGGTGCGGGCGACGGAAGAGAATTTTCGTATTATATACTCCGTTAAAGTTTGTCATCTATAATGAACCGGATAAAGATCTGGATTAAATTTCTAATGGCAATAATTTTCGCTTGGAAATCGGTTATCAACTGGAAGAGTTCGATAAGGAACAAAGTACCAATTTACTTAGAATTAGTTCTTAACGCGGAACGTGACGATTAAGTTACCCCTGATGTTTGAATTTATTCGGCACGGTCAAGGAAATAACTCTTTCGGCAAGACGATCTTTAATTTCTTTTTTCAACGAGCGTCGATTAAATTACACGAATGCAACTTTGCTCGATAGGAACTCTCCCTTCTTTTTTTATCCGAATGGTCGTAGACTTTTACAAAGGACTCTTCTTCGATTACAAATCTCTCCGTGGTTAATTTCCAATGACACTTTTTTACGCTAGGACGAAGGAAAAAAAATAAAATACTAATAGCTTTACCTCTGAGAGCTTTCATGTGTGCCACTGCCATCCTCAGTATCGTGAGTTTGTCCGGTTTCCTCGCAAGGGCCGAACAGGTTGGTACCATGTCCGAGAGTTCGGTGATGTAGGCGGTCATCTTGTTCCGCCGCCGCCTTTCTATTTCGCAATGATTCTCCCTGCAGTAAGTTGCAAGAAAAAACCAAGGTAATTGCATAGTTCGAAGAAATATTCGAGATATTTAGGGAAAATGTTAACGCGCGCAAACGGGGAACGGAACGCAATCTATGTTTCCGGAATGATCATGTATAGTACGTGCGTCCGAGATCGATTGGACTAATAAATTCTCGTGGTCCGATTATACTACACGTAGTTACGAAAGCATTCGGGTTTGACGAGATTCTCTCCAGTTGTCACGACGAAGGGACGGTAGAAACTACGAATCAAATTCAATTGATTGTTCTTAGTAAGTAACGCGTGTCGTAGAGATTTTTCCAACGTGAAATCTAATAAATATATTATAATTAGACCCCAACTGACTTCGCGATTATCCCGTTGTACTTTATTTAATACGGCAATATTTCAAAGGGATTGAATTTTCTGGCACGACGAGGAAAATGAACAAGGATTCGCGTTCGAGTCGATCTTAAAGGGATATTGTCGTGGGTTCGTCTTTTTTCAGTGAACGGAGAAGAATATAAATGAAAAGAATGGGGATAAGGATCTAGGAGAAAGAACATCCGGGAGGTTGAAAGACACATAGCGCGAGTATGGGCCACCACCACCACCACCACCACTAGGATGGGCGAATACTTGCAAGAGAAAATCTTTCAGGAGAATCCGTAACGTCTCGTTGGTCGAAACCTTTCTTCGATTTCATTCTCTCTGTTCTTTCACGGACATAAGAATAAATATCTATCTATCTATCTCTTTCTCTCTAGAAGAGGGCAACGCTATTTAAAAGAGGCCAGGCCGCTTAAAGCGCAAGTATAAAGCAGGCTACGTACTACGGTTCCAGCAACGCGATGGAGGTTGCGAGGTATGGAAGAAGGGCGAAAGGGACGCGCTGGAGGAGGGCTCGGAGGAGGGCTCGGAGGAGGGATCGGAGGAGGGATCGGAAGAGGACGAGGAACTCCTGGGTCAGGGGTCAGACGCTCCGAAGTTGCTCGCTCGCTTCTAAGGTCCGGGCAAGCGGATTGACTATACGGGGTGTACCGATAATCGCGCGAGCACCAAACGATACCGTGCGAATGCCGTCTTGTCCGAGATTCTTATCTACCTCTTTCGGTACAAGTTTATCCTTCTTTTTTGGTCCTCTCCCGACGACACTATTCTTTTTTATTTCTCTTTATTTTCCTTATCTTCCCCCTACAACAACGGTGGCTAAGGCTCAACGTTTGCGATCTTATCGCTCCTACTTCGAAATAACACTGTTATTCGTTATTCTAATCTCGCGAATTCGACAATCTCGCAACTTAACGAAACACGAACGACGTCAAAATGAAAATATCGTCTATCGGTTAGTTAAGTTTCGTCCGTTAATATATATCCGGTCTTCCAGCTTCTCGATTACTGCCCCAAAGGCACTAAATATGTTGCAAAGTTAAATTTATGGCGCACCACGCTGCCGTCTCACGCGCGATTATAACATCTTCGTTTGAAAATGATTTAAACGACAACGATCGGAGTAGTATCCGTTCATCGTCGAATACCATTCCCTGTTTATTCTCTTCCTTCTTCGTTGTCGTCATCGTCGTCGTTATTCCTGCACCGGCACCGGCATCATCTTCTTCTTTTTCTTCTTCTTTTTCTTCTTCTTCATTCCTCTCTTTTTCTCGATAAATATGCACCGAGTTGTAATAACGCGTATTACCCGCACTAAAATTGTGAGAGAGTCTATCGAATAGATATTTCTTCCTTTCCTTTCCTTATAACTTTACTTTAGGTGAACGAAAGAGAACGACAGAGTTATTCCGCGGTTTTATAGCGAGGTTCGTAATCGCGCGCCACCGAAAATGCAGGCTTTCTGTATTAATGCCGAGGTCGAGAAGAAAATACGACCGTGGGCCCTCTCCTCGGTTGGGAGAAGTATCAAAGAAGAAGAAGAAGAAGAAGAAGAAGAAGAAGAAGAAGAAGAAAAAGAAGAAGAAGAGGAGGAGAAGGAGGAGGGTTTGCTTGCGGCGGGAGGCAGTAATTGCGTTATTAACTTAAAAGTGAGGTTCTTGAACGCGGCTGCTCGCTTGCTTGCAAAGCGCGACATCAGAATCGGTTGCGGACCGCTCGAGTCATGATGCCTTTTCCATCCTCTTTTCGACAACACGATGTATGCGTGCTTATTCTTGGGTATCTGCAAAATGACAGTAGAGATTGCTTGCGGAGAACGACTCCACCCAGTCGCACGCGATCGAACACACACAACAAGAGAAAACTTCTGGAATAATATATTCTTTATTTCTCTCTCTCTCTTTCTCTCTCTCTCTTTCCTTTTGAGTAAATTTAACGACAAAGAAAAGTTTTAATATCATCGAGATAGATAGATAGCAACTAAGTAGAATCCAGGGTGGCCGAAGTTTAAGGACGAGGACGGTACGCGCGTCCTTTATGTTCGGAACCTTATGTTCCCACGCTGGAGCAGCCTCGAGGGCTTCCCATTCCGCTATCGGTTCGCATTGGTAGGTATCATGTAGGTATGTATGTATCTTGATACTTGAAGAGGCATGTACAGGGTGTACCGGTAGAACATATTGGGACCACGATTTCGTGAGACGAATTAACAATGTCGGCAAGGAAAGATACCAAAAAGGTGTTCACGCTTACTCTTCTCGCGATCTGTCTTTACTCGTCAAGACAAACCTAACGAGATTCGAATTATGCGTAAATTACCGTTGTCCAATCGATAAATGTTCACGAAACAAACAGCGTTCATTTATTTACGCGATCATTCATTAACAATTTTAATAATGTTTGTAATATCAAACATATATAATTAATAAACAATTAATTTAGATAGTAAATAAAATTGATGGAAAATAAATCTCTGGCGGTCGTTTATTTGTGAAAAATTCATTTTTGATTTAATAACAAAGTAATAAAAAACGGTGAGGGAAAGAGAACTCAATTTAATGAATAAACGAATGAACGATAATAATTAATGATTAGTAATTATAAATGATTAATGTCAAATCATTGGAAAATTAATTAGATTAATATTTTTACGAGGCACGCGTCGAATCCGACTTGTTTACCATAGAATTGCCGAGTTATAACTGTCTCGATTGTTTCAATTTATGGGGATTATTATTAGAAAAAATAAGTAAACATAGGTATAGAAAAACGTAGATAAATATAATTTGATCCTAAAAAGTTCGGTAACCGTTTCCGAGATTTGTTTTTTCTTTCTCCATACGATTGATCATAAAGTTTTTAACAAAATTGATTACTTAATAATTACCAGTAATTTGATTAATATTTAATATTAAAATTGTTTGCAGAAATAGTTGGACAACGCTAACGTAGAAAATATTATAACTTTCCCGTTTCGAGTAAGAATCTCTGGCACGAAGGGCCAACTACGTTTTAACGAGTCTATCGAATCTTCTCGAGCCTGAGACTCACCTCGCAAACCTCTCCTTGTCCTGCACATTATCATCTTCCAGCCTTCTATATTTACATCCACTGGTGTCATCCTCGTCCGACCTGAAACACCAATAGAAGAAAATAATTTATTACATTTGTCTCGAACCACCATGATTACCGATCAAATTCTTTTTATGCACTCCTTTTTTCCCCTTTTTAATCTTCTTCTTTTTCGAAAGAATACGAATCGAGCCGATGGTGGGCGTAAGCGTGTGTGTAGAACTCGACCCCGTAGAAATATTATTAGAAATTCAAACGCACAAACGAACGCAAGGATAATAAAAGGAAAAAAAAAAAAAAAAAAAAAAGACACGGGAAAACATTTTAACAAGATATACGTATGCGCGGACATGGACGAATTTAATTCTCGATACGCGAGTCGCGAGCGTATATACTTCTTATTTTATCTCTCTCTGTGCGTGTGCGTGTATGCGTTTGCGTGCGCGTGCGTACGAACGTTGCGTACGTCCGTCAAGATGCGTGGTTGTTGAGCGATAAATTATTATACCGTTCGACGAGAGAAGGCGAAGGAGAAAAGCAAGGAGTTCGCAAAAAAGGAACGAATAGTCGTGCGAATAGATATCGCGTCATCGACGCGCAAAACTATAATAGCTTCCGGATTACCAAACGCGAATTGGCCGATCCAAAATTGGCCTTCTGCTCTACTCCACCAAATCTAGATCACCTAACAGTAATCGTTCTTCGATCGAAATTCGACGCGTGCAGATCATCGAATTCTATTCTACGCAAGATCCTCGACAACAAATTAGCCATTAATTAATCATTAATAACCAACGAAACCATACAGAAATAAGTTTACGATGATGACGGAAGGAAGCGTATATAAAGATTGTTCTTCGTATCTATGAAGAGTTATTCATTTATTTACCTTTTCCACATCTCTCTCTCTCTCTCTCTCTATCTTTCTCTCGACATATCGAGTCGTAATCGAAATAAACGCGAGAAGAATTGGAGCGAAATAATTCGGTTCGTCCCACTTTTTCCTTCCTTCCTTTCTTCCTTCTTTCCACCATGCGACGACGACATCGGCGATTCGATAGCGATGTTCTAGCTAAAGTCAAGATTCAAGACCTCATTACCGCTTAGGTACCAGGAAGAATATGGCAAAGCCCGCGTAAGGGTCGTTCGTTACAATACAGGAAAAGATATCAGGAAAGCTAGGGGTGAGGTGGGAAAGAGGGTGATGGACTCGGAGCGCAAAAGAGGCCACCGTAAATCCGTCACCGCCGTCTCATTATCGGTATCGAAGCTCGTGTTCTTTCTACCGACGCTAGTATTAACCGCTCGCTAGAAAATTATGCTCTCGTTCGCGAGCTCGAGAGAAAGAGAGAGAAAGATAGCTCATAGAAATCCGGTCGATCGTCAGTCTATTGCACCGGTGCGCGCGGGTGATCTACGGTTCTGACCCTGAGCGAAAAACCAAGATATCCCCTTCCCAACTTTTATTTTTCCTCCCACCAACCTACTACACTCGCCATCGTACTCCTTCTACTCTCGGTGTGGTGAACGCGCCATGCGGTACCTCCCTCTCTTCACCTTTCTCATACCGAGGAGAACTCCGGAGGACCCGGTAGAAGAGAAAAGTGGGGGTGGTGTAGGGCCCGCACCGAGTGTATCCGGGTACCTCCGTACCCGCCAGCCCTCCCTTCGCTCTTCTCCTCCTCCTCCTACTCCTCCTCCTCCTCCTCATCTTCTACCATCTTCTTCTTCTTCTTCGTCATCGTCGTCGTCGTCGTCGTCTCTAGAGCCCTCCAACATATATAGTACCCCCCTCCTCCTCTTTCTCTTGGAGCACCATAGTCCCTTAGGAGAGGGAGAGAAGATGTACCCAGAGACTTATGGAGTACATAATGATGCGCCCCGCGGTATTATGTCGACTTAACGGATACGTATGAATCTTTTTTTACGAATCTTTCGTGAGAAAGAAGACGACGATACCACGTTGAGGTTTCTTTCGTCCATGGCACGTTGTCGTTGTCGTCGTCGTCGGTCGATCGAACAACAGAATGGATGAAATGTTCCCTAGAGTTATGACACTTTCTTCTCTCGTTAGCCCTGGCATTTATATCTTACTACCCGATTCAACAACGTGGCATTACAATCCGCGCCTTCGAATCTAAGAGAAAGTTTAAATCTTCGAAGCAGGTTCAACGCGGTGCTCCAATTGCTGCACCTTCCAGAAGGTTTTTTAGAAACTACCCGTGTAACCGAGAGGAACATGGAAGGCAAACGTTCTAAAATCATTTTATTCGCGGCACCTCTCCAGAACCTCCCACCCTCCTTCATCTTCTTCCCTCATCTTACTTTCTTACAACTTGGTATTTATAACTTGGTAAAATATTCCTTAGATCTATCTTGATATAACGAAAATCGCAAACGCGTACCTTATCCGGATTTTTAGATAATAAATCATATGGCGAATACAAAAACCGGCTTCATATCACGTACGTGCGGAGTTATATGATGGCCCGTGTGTCGTTATGCGAGACGTTTTTGCATCGCGTATGCATCGTCCGACGGAAAGAAGATCCCCCTATGCTAGCTAAAGCTTAGATCGAGAACGAAATTCTAACGATCAAATATCAATGCTACCAGTTCTCTTTGAATAATCAAACATTTATACCTTTCCTAACGAAATATTACTTTATACTAAGGAAAAATATCAATTATCGTTTATCATTTACCAATTACTCAACGTAACCTTTGGAGAACAGATTTTATCTTAGCGAACACGCTGCTTTAACGTCGTAAACTCTATGCAAAGTGTAGAAAAATTTCATTGGAAAAAGGAAGAGACGAATGCAACAACTGACAAGCTTAAAATACGAGAATATTGACCCTGCACGACACTAAATCAGCGATCGCAATAAACCATGACGTCGATGGCCTATTACAAGAGACTCGAAGAACGAGTTCATAGCATCGACTGGTAGCATTGATTTACAATTGGACTACGTAACGACCGAAACGAATTTGGTAGCGTATCGAATGGAACGAATGACTAACAGTTGTTCATTTACGATCGACGAACAAGCTTGCGACCATGAAAAAAACATTTTTCCACAAAAAAATCCAACGGATCCTTCTTAAAATGGAACAATTTGGAGGAAAATTAATCTTCCTCGTCGGTTGTCAGCGCTGTTGTTCCATTTCTCCCTCTTTCGACTCCTTCTTTCACGACGTATTGGAACAAAAGTCGTGGGAACTGAGCATTAAAGATCTTTATCTAACGTGCGTCTAATGTAAGCCGACTCTTTCATTGTAACAACTCGAAGGAGGAGGAGGTTAAAGGCACGTACATAAGTACTTACGAAACGAAGAGTTAAACGATCGCTTTTTCGTATGTGTTCTTTCGACGAGCAGATTCGGAATGTCGGCATAGCATGGTTGGTCCGCGATACCGTAGCATGGTGGGCGGTAACGCTGATCTCACACGAGACAAACGTACGCTTTTACCGTCGGTAATTAGGGCTTTTAATTATCTCTTAAGGCTTACGCCATTCGGCGATATGCTCGACGATATGGTGCTCTTGGTGGACGTGGCTCCAAATGACCGACGCGATGGTTTGGCATTAAGAAAGATTAACGACCGCGTTTAAACGGTTCGAACGAAAATATTTCTTGCGCAATTAGTCGATCGCTAAATAATTCCACGTAAGCGTTTGATAAAAAGTGAGTGAAAGAGAGAGAGAGAGAGAGAGAGAGAGAGAGAGAGAGAGAGAGAGAGAGACAGAGACACAGTGACATCCAAGAATTTTCAAAATACGAGGGAGAGAGAATACCACGTGATGTGGCACGCCGTGTCCAAGTTACGGTGGCGCCTTTTTGCATTTTTCCGTTGGACTCTAGAGTCACGACTTGACCCCTCTCTCTTTCTCTCTATTCCTTCTTCTCTTCCTCTTTGTAACCGTTGTCCAAGCTCGTCCTCGTACATTTACGTTCGCCATTCCTTTACGTCCACGTGTGTTACATCTACCAACTACTATTCTTCCTGTAGTCTTTTAAGACACTTCCACGTACATACGCTTATGCACCATACATACGAGTTTGTCCCCTGTTGCCTGCCTTTCGAGAACAGGAGAACGAGCATCTACCTACCCGGTGTATCTACGAAATGCGCGGTATTTTTCCGAAAGCTGTTTCTCTTAAACGCGGAATCTCATCGATTTCTTACTATAAGAGGATAATTGAAACGTTCCAATCGGAGCAATGCGCAAGAAACACCGATGCTATACTGCATTTCCGTATCGAATCACGCGATACAAGTGTTTACTCGCTTTAATTGCCCGCTTAAGCATTCTTATTCAAGGAGAAATGGAAAAATGCGATTATCAAGTTTTACAACTCGAGAAGTCGAATTTTAATTTGTTTCTTATCGAGGACTTACAACGACGACGCGTTACGACGACAATAACAAGCGTCCTTGAGCGTCCAGTTATTTCAAGTAGCATTTAACTATATAATTATGCAACGAATCATCGTATTTTAGCGGAGCTTCGTCGTCCGTTGAAGCGACGACGACGGCGACGGCGCCGCCAATTGTTAATCTAACGTCTAAACACGATGACGATGATTCTTCCCAGTTTTCTTCTTTGCTTTTCTTTTCATCTGCAGGGGGGATTTTACGATAATGCTCGAACCATACAGTGTCGCATATTAAAGTAAGATCAGAGCGCGAGGATTGGCGGCTTATAGAAGGGGCGGTCCATCTTTCCCCGCACGACTCGCGCCAAAGAACTTTTTATCTCTCTCTCGCTCTCTCTCTCTCTTTTTCTTTCTCCCAGACGATCTTTTATTGGTCACCGCCTCCTCTTCGATCGATCCTCGATCGCATCCTAACAATATTCTAACACTCGCGAATGATCCCTGCAAAGACCGTCTCTAATAAGTTTATTTGATTTCGATATTATCGAGGATAATTGCCATTCTTGCGATAGTTGTTGTCGTTCAAAGTCGAGCCGAGTAGAAAGCCTTAAAGTCGTAATTGATCCCGATAGAAGAGATTCGCAGGAAGAGGAAGAAGAAGAAGAAGAAGAAGAGGAAAGACGCGCGCGCGACCCTAGAACGGAACCAATCGGGAGAACCGACCGTTTTCACGCCTGAGAAAACCTTTATTGTTCAGGGCGTGTAAGTTAGCTTCGAGCGGAAAGTCACGCGACTGAGAATACGAGGAAGAGGAAGCAGCAAGAAATCCATCTAATTACGCTTACAGCCGCACAATCTATGCACCCTCTAACAAGATACCTTTTTCTTGCTCTTCGTTAAGGATATTTTCTACTTTGGCAATCGTTTGAAGAGAACGCAAGAGAGAGAGAGAGAGAGGGGAAGAGAGAGGATGTTCCCAATTAATCCAAAATATTCATTGAAAATCTATCGATTCGTTAGAGAAGAATAAAAAAAAAAAAGGAAAGCATAAATTCTTATTCGGTTTGATATAATCGGCACGCGCGTTATCGCGTTTTATTTATGCTCGCGATGAAAAGTATCGTGGGTAAGCTAAGTATCCGTGTCGCACGCGTACGACTTAAATATGGATTTAATATCAGACGAGTGATACGAGGCGTTACTAATGGAGGATTCATTAAAAGGTAGATAATTCGACGACGCAATTCAAGCCACATATCAAACTAAAAACAGATTTTTCCATTTCGATCCAACCAGTTGAACGACTTCTTCCACCTAAGGAATGCCACTTCTTTTTTTTTTTTTTTCTTTTTAGATAGGCGCACGCGGCCAACGCGATTGCGTGAAATAAATATATGTTTATCAATTAGATTTACATTTTTACAGGTTAATGCACCAGAAATCATCTGTGCTCCATTTAATTAGTTATTATAACATAATTAACGTTTCCTAGTTGGTGTTTAACGCGTTGAAATCCAAAGGCTAACACTCGCGTAGTACTACAGTGCGTATCCCTGCCGATGATAATTGCACCGTATAAGTGTGCCGTGTGGAAATAATGAAAAGAGTAAACAGACGATTTACATAGGACTTCCCGAAGAGAATATAAAAAGAGATATCGCGAACGCAATCGCTGCTTAGAAAGAAGGCTACTCTCCGGCTTGGAAATTCTTACTTCGAGCCAGTTGTCACGAACATCGCGCATCAAAAAATATACAAATACAAATAATACAGCCTGTTTTATTCAATGTTCAACATCTATACGTGGACGAAAAAAGAATAAGAAAAGACAATGCAGTTAGGATTTAGAAATATACCCGCGCGAGATTGCATTTGCGGGAAAAAGAAACAAGATCGAGGAAAGTTAGACTTGATTAAATATCAAATTATTTTGAATCTTCGCTTAGAAGAAAATGATAGTCCTTCGTAAGTAGCAAAATCTGCTGGTAAACGTTGAAGAGATCTTGATCGGTTTTCCTCGGTGTAACGATAAGACGGGCAAAGAGAAACTAAAGCAGATAAGGTCCAAGTAATGGAGTGCTTTGGATTTTTGGGTTTTATGAAGCGGATTACATAACAAGATCGCGGTAATCGGCGCGTAAATGCGTGAACGGTCACAAATCTCTGCTACGTGACGAATTCCTCAACGAGTGGGTTTTGTTTCGTGCTCGCACGTTCGGTGCACGTGGTAGAGTGTAGAACGAGCCGCGTAAACTCATCGTATTAGACACCCTGGCTACCCTTAATCTTTCTCCGTGTGTATTTTGCGGCTTGTTAGACGCGATCAGCCGGGAACGAGACCAGACCCAAAGATGCACTTTATATTAAATGTCGACTTTTCGTTCCATCATAATATAACGATTATTTCGTCATTATATTTCATAAGGCTTCATAAGGTTTTTGCGCGATTACTTGGATTTCAAAAATGTACAATTACGTCGATCGATCGCTTTTAAGGTCTTCTTTGGGGAGACTTAACGAGCAGAGTTATAAAAAAAAAACACACACACACACACGCGCGCGCGCGCGCGTTGGTTCGTTATAATTAGACGATAAATGAAATCAGCGATCAGCGAGGCCAATGAAATATTCGCTGATAAATGTAATCTCTCGGGTATTGTACGTGCTCTCGTTTCTTCCTACGTAATACGGTCACTCCCGTCGTACGTACATACATACGTGCATACATACATACGTACTTACATACCGTACCGTACGTAATAATATACGAGCTGTGCCGTCATAACTATTTCTTCGCGCATATATGTATTTTTCTTGTGATCTCAATTTATTATCGTCGCGCGTGACCGCGCACCGCAATTCTGTTGTATGCATTTCACGATAACGTCAACTTTGTACCCGCTTTGTTATATTTTCGAGAAGATTATCGTTATCGTCGTTTCAATGGCTTACGCCAGAGTATCTTTTTCTTCAAGGTCGCCGAGGAAGTTCCTCCTTTTTTTCTTCCTTCTTCCTCCTTCCTCCTTCCTCCTACTCCTTTTTCTTCGTCGTCTTGATCTCCTCTTCAAAGGGAAGTTACATTTTACGCGCGAAGAAAGTGTAAGTATCTTATAATAAAATTGCAATTACATTTCTTGATTATAATTTACTTGCTAATGTAGGTAGAAAAAATGCTGATCTTGCAACAACAAGAAAACCGTATGTTTTTCAAACAGCAATGATTGCACAAGAAAGTTAATAACAATCTCTCGGTCAAATATGGTTTACAGAATTTTGTAAGGTAAAACGTAATCTGAAAATGCAACGTGGAAAATAGCTGCTTCTTTTTTTTTGTTTTTTTGTTTTTTTTGTTGTTGTCTGTTTATTTAACGGTTAATAAATATTCAGTTTATGCAAGGATCGTCAAGCTCGTTATCGATTCACCGTTTTCGTGGTTTTGAGGCGAGCGGTAGGATCGGATTGGCTTGACGAGAATTCGCAGTCTTTTTTACGACAAGCTCGACGATAATAGAGTTATCTAGATTCACGACTGACTCCTGTATTTTTCACGCAGACACGGAACATGTGCGTTCCGAGTATCGTTGATTTTTCTTTGGAATATTTGAATCCTGATAATGTACAACAAGTAAGATAACGTATCTATGAAAATCGAAAGATTTCTTGGAAATTCGGAAATAATCGTTGTCATTGGTCTTCGATATACTAGCATGATGGTACTTGCGACTTGAAAAAGTTAGAATAAATCTGCACGATTTAATCGTAAAAGTGGGGGCTGGCTCGTTTGCAAAATAGATTCATAAAATGATTACTTTTTATTGCATCTTGCGGAATAGGGAATTACGGGTGGTAGATTAAGGTTAAAATACAATCGGCACAAATAAGTTACAATAAGGTGAATCGGCATAAGTAATCTTCGAAACGATCCGCAAATTTCTTCCGCTTGTCGACGGGGTCCGAGCGAAAGGCGAATCCGTAAGTACACCGCAAGCCTCTCAATTTCAATAAGCAATCGTAAGTACTTCGGTCACGACTCTCGATAACTAGATTGTTTCAAGCGAACTCGAGAGTTCTTTCAATGATCTCTATGGGGAATAAATTTTGACGACTCGAATAAATCGTGCCAGTTGACGAAACCTAATCCTTTTAACGTTGCACTTTTCTTGCTTTCATATCAGCTAAATTCCACGCAAAGATCTGAAAACTCTTTTTAACTTTTAAATCGTACTTCGATTTTTTTCTCACGACGGTCGCAAAACGTCTGTTAACCATATAATTACCGAGATACTTCATAATCATCAATATACGTAATTAGTAATACGTAACTCTTGCCATACGTAATTTGTCCCTGTCTCACGTTAATCGTCGCGTTCGTCGTTAACTCTTTAAACGCACGGATCTTCGTAATAAATAATTTTGTACTTAAGGGTAAATTTTCGCGACGTTCATCGATTCAACGTGCATGCCCAGGTTACCAGCGCAAAAACCGCGTGCCGTTTAAAAGTCCCAACCTTTCCCACGATTCTTTGCACGTTCCTATATAGAGGAGAGAGACGGTATCCTTTGGTCAAAAGCTTAAAACCCGGTTTGATATCAAAAGGGCCGACTTTTAACCTACCCCGGGAAAGCGATTTTAGTAGACGGAGGATGTCAGTTTCGTGCTCCGAGGAGCCAGATGATCTTGAGACGATGATCCAGCATGGCTGGAAAGAAGTTTTGCGCGAATACTCGTCTCTCTTCCAAGAGAGAAACGCGATACCCATCTCTCTTCCAAGAGGCAAATAGGATCAAAAAGACGAAGATTTACCTTCGTGTTTTCGACGACTGCTGAGAGTCCGAATGCGTCTGCTGTATGTGATGAGGCGATAGGTTGGGTCCGTAAGACAGAAGCTGACTTCCGCCGGTGGGGCAACCGGCTGGCGGAGGTGGAGGTGGTGGGCCCAATTGGTAACTCACGCCGGAACTCGAGGGAGCGTAGTGGGGCCCGGGTCCCGGGCCCAAACCGACCCCATACCCTGTACCTCCCGTACCACCCCCGTACATACCACTACCACCGGGATATTCTATTTTGACGATCTTTCTTCCACGATTTTTGAACAATTCAGCGAGCCTCCTCCAACGATTCTCCTCAATTCCTTCATTCGTTCATTTTATTTGAATAATCGTATACAAGGAGACATGTTCATCCTTTCTCGAAGCTGATTCTATCGGTTCTTCGCTTAAATCAATACAAATTTCATCAAGTCATAGATTTGCTGTTTGCCACGCACTGGACACCTGTTACACGCTCGAGAAGACACGCGCGTGCGTTCTCTCGATATGCGATATCTACGCGACGGCCGAAGGGTGCTCCTCCGCAGGAAGTCCTAATATCAAACGCCTTTCTCTCTTTATTTTCCGTTCAATTAAACTTTGCGTATTTTACTTCCCTTTGTAAGTCAAACTTAGATTACGGATGATTAATTCATAGAAACATTGCCGGCGGATGACCGGATCTGATTCCAGGATCTTCAAAATCAAAGAATCGAAAGAGGAGCGATCAGGTACTTTTACTTCTATCGTATTATCTACCGACTTTCATTATTGTTCGTTCTAGCTTATAGCACTCATATTATATGCACTCATTTATTTCCTTTTAATTCGATGCTATCGAGTTAACGCTAATTTAAAAAAATGTTCGTCGAGTTGCTGACAATTTCGATCTTGATCTTGAAACGGCTAATCTTTCATCGCTTTCGAAATTGAATATCCATGATTTAATTTTGAACTATGTTTAAAGATATTCCATTGAGAATGATTGCAGGATTCAATGGATGCCAGTTTATATATCCTTTCACCACTTTCTTCTACGACCACTTTGAACAAACTCACGAGAAAAGCTCCCCAAAGAGTAAAAGTGAAAAAAGTAAAAAGAAGTAAGGGGAGAGGGAGGGAGGGAAGGGAGGCGGGAAGGGAGGAAGGAAGGGAGGAAGGAAGGGAGGAAAAAGTTTTCGGTGAGAGAATGTGATCTATTCAGAGGAGGGCGCGAGACGCGCGTCGTTTAAACTTGGCACGAGGCATCTTAAGCTACGACGAATATCACTGCTGCCGAGCACGTTGAAAACGATTTCGTCCGGAGCATTCGGTCGGATATCGATTGCTACGATCGCGATTGGACTAAGGACGACGCGACGTTCATTCGGTCGGGAAGCACGAGAAATCGAGCCGAAGATCGAGCCGAAGATCGAGCCAAAGATCGAGCCAAAGATCGAGCCGGAGATCGACAAGAAGATCGAGGGACGGATGGGTCGTCGACTAGTCACCACCCACAACTCGCCAGTGACTGATTCCACCATAGCCGTATAATGTGCCGCCGTGGTATACCCCGGTAAGGACTATCACTTCTCCCACCAGAGAGCGGAACAGCCACCGTATAAAGCACGACTTTTAACCGGGATGCCTTGCCTTCGTCCCTCCTGGTGGTAGCAACGGAACGAACGCGCCTTCTCTCTCCGCAACGATGACCCCTCCTTACACGCTTCTTTTCTTTTACGTATTCCCCTGACTACCTTTTCTTTTCCTCCTACCTCTGACACAATCCTACGAAATAATCGGCTCGACATTTATACCGCTTTAACGCTCCAAGGAATCTATCAACTATTCTCATAATCGTCCCCCTCGACTCGCGATCCCACTTCTTCCTTCTATATCCGCATCGAATATAAATAAATGATCAGTTTTCAAACACTGAATGTATTTTCTCGGTAAAAAAGATCAAGCGAGTTTAGCACATCGAAACGATTCGGTTTGACGACTTGGGAAAAGTATTTTGAGTTAAGTTTACGAAGCTTACGATAACGAAATGTTTTTTCCACGATGTTGCAATAAAACAATGACGGTGTATAAAGAAATATTACCAACAGGTTCTAAGTATTGTCAGACGACGAATTACTTGCAGCGTAGCAAGCTTCCTTATTTTAGTCGATCGATCTTCCTGGAATGTTCCAAAAAAAAAAAAAAAATAATTTTAATTAATTAAACTTTATTCGAAAAGAGCGCATCTATTCTTTTTACCCCATCGAGAACAGTTTTTTTTTATTCTTATTTTGTCTTTTCGATCGAACATTTAGAAGCGCGAAAAATGTTCTAGCTTGGCCATCTTGTCGGTTGTTGATAGGAAAGATTGATAAAAAATTATAGATCACCATTATCGATCATTATCATTGCACGTTTCGATACGATTACAAAAATACAATCTCTGTATCAATTAAAGATCTGACTGTTCGAAAAATTCATCGTGATGTAGATATTAGAGGTAATTATTGGAATTATCGGATACGTGTACGTAGACATAAAGTATACTCGACTGACATGCCAGCTGATACATTTTAATAGATATTGTATCACTTGGTATTATCATGTGTTTTTCAAACGAATACATCTATTTACATATACATAGAAATGGAGAGAGACTCAATTAAGTTTGCTTACAATATTTTAATAAATAAAATCATTTTCCTAATCAAAAATAATAAATATATAGCATCTCGTCTGAAAACATATCTGCTATGTTTCAATAAAAAACATATTTCTTACGACCTGTTGGTATTATTTTAAAGTAAAAAAACTAATATTTTTTAACCTTTTGAGCACTTTTTAAGGATGGAATATTTTACTCCTAGTGCAAGTTCTTTCATTACTAGTTGATTATACTAGGCATAGCTAATAATAAATTATAATTCTTATTATTCCAGATTAAATAACATAAAAAAGAATTTTTCCAACATAATTTTGGTGTAATCAAAATCCAAACATTTATCATACGCAAATCATATGCAAATCAACATGGCATTCTTCGCATTCATATCGATAAATGCATATGTGCAACCATAGCACTCAAAGGGTTAATAGGTACTGTTATAAGAACTTGAAAGAAAAGTCATATTCTGTAATATGTAATTATTTGAAACCGTGTTCAAAGTATACTGTTTCATGAAAGTTTTCAATATTTTAACTTACCCTATATGAATAGAACCGCGCTTCTGCGCCATTTGACTCTGATCACTCCCTGTAATAATGGAAAATTTCATTAGCTCGCTTATTCAATTAAGTAATAATTATAAGAATTAAGTAATAATGATACTCGCTCATTTAGGACCAACACAAAATATTTAAGTAAATATTTCCTTAAAGATATTTAACTCATATCACTATGCAACTAATTTTACATAATTTATTATATGTGATGTAACAAATGCAAACGAATAGAAATATATAAAGTTTTATATTTTAACACTAAAACTACCGACACTTCACGCATACCTATTTCTACTGCGAACGGTTAAATGACCAGTTTAAAAAAAGAATATATATTCATATAGAATGAAATTTTAGCCAATTGGATAATCAACAATATACCTTCTTTTATTTAGAAATGAATAATGTACATTTTATGCATTTTCACCGAATATATTACAAATTATCACATCTTTACATGTTACAGGACGTGGTCATAAAACCGATCATAGTACATTTAGAGTTAAAGATTTATTCGCATATAGACTAACAATTAGATTTGACAATAAAATTCATCTTTCTATTGATATAAACTGATACGATAAAATGATCAAATCAATGGGAGTTATCAAAGTAAGTATTTTTTAAATATCAATTGATAATATTGTATATTATAAACAATGCAACATTGTATACATCTAATGGTACGTAAAAAGAAGAAATCTCATCGTCTAATGATTACTAACTTTGTTTGTACTATATGCAGAGTATACGTTTTAAGATCATAAATATATAATATTGATATGTTATACGTGTAAAAGAATTTGGACAATCACAGCTATCACGTACAAGAACTACTGTATATTATTCTTAAGGATTAATATAAGCATGCTGTACAAACTATTGGACTCATAATATTTAGTAAAATCAAATGATTATATTTTAAAATGCATTAAAACCAAATAGGGAACGAAAGTAAGCGTAAATAATTTTGGGTAATAGGAATTTCATATATTTCTCATAAAAATAAGTGAAACTATATTAGGGAAAGCATAACGAGCGTCAAAATTAGTAGAAGACGACTTTTACCTGGTATAGAGTGAGCGATCGTGGATACAGTAGTGAACATCCAGTTTGAGTTTATTTCTTACACGGTTTGTACAAAATATTTGGACTATGGCCAATCGTTTAGAGGAATATTACTCAGCTCTTACACTCCACTAATATCAAAACTGGGTGTTTAGAATCAGGAGTCGCGCCATTTTGAAGTTTTATTCGGGAATTTTATTTTTTCTTGGACCTCAGAATACGATTTCAATGAAAGGAAAATGACTTCGCTTAGGGCAGCATCTGGCGGTATATTCCGATAAACATATATTCCCCGCTACAATGAAAGTCCTAGTTCTGTTGATAGAACAGAACTTGATAATAAAAATAACTAAATTCATAAAAATATATTATATGTAATAAAGATAAATAATTAAGTAATGCTGTAAACGACTTATAGACTAAAAATTAATTTACAAATTAGAAATGAAGTATACTTGCCTTGATAGCGCGCGAATAAAAAATAGTGATAGCTGTGATATGATTGGTCGAAAATTATATTGGGTTTACGGTACACATATTCCAAAGATTACAAAAGAACATAGAAGCTCAAAGTTCCCTTTTTTATAGAACCAGATTCATTTAGTTACTACCGGGACCACCAGTGAGCGATAGTAGGTACTTAACGCGATGACAATACTACCAAAGAATACAGTATTCTTTGATAGTATATGATATATTCTTTAATATTATATATAGTATAGTTCTATTGTAATAACATTTTAAATAAATATATTAAATTTAAAAAACACTGTTTACATTAATAATGTATCCAAGCTTAATTCATGATTGATTTTTATGAACAAGATCTCATTTAACAGAATAAATAAAAATCTAATTGAAATTCATTAATCAAAAAAATTTAAACTTTAAATTAATTAAAATATTACAAAAACAAAAAAAAGAAGAATTATTTAAATTTGATAACAAAAAGAAATATTTCCAGTGTGTTTCTTTAAGAAATTATTTTTAATACAATTTTATTTACTGAAGTGTAATTAGTAATATGTAATACACAAGTAGTATAATATTTATTTAAATATAATTAAAAAACAAAAGAGAAAATATTTTTTGGAAACACACTGAAATATACAGCCATTAGCCCGGTAGTACTTTCGTTACATAATTAATTAAATTTGAATAAATCGCAAGTAATACCGACCCAGGTCTCACCACTAGGAGGTTGCTGTTTWCGGAGACCCACGGRCTAAGACTCTACTTCTAACATTTATTTTTCTAAAAAATTCATTTTTCTCATTAATCATTTAGTAGAAAACAATTTTTTCAAAAAATGCAACGCGTAAAACGAGTCATACATTTTTTCTTTCAACTTATTATTCAAATTGAATGAAAAATAATGAACATTGTTTTAAATCGATCCTACCTACCCGATTTACAATCCTAAATTAACGCAAACATGCAAACATGCAAACGCTTTGACGTAGATTCGATTGAAATTTTAAATACAAAATGCAAGTTTTTTTTATTCAACAAACGCAAGAATGTAGACCGTTTTAATTTACATTCGACCGAAACTTATAATGTAACAACACGCAAATTGTTACAATAGGAACGCACGTAATTATATGTACACTTACGTGTGCATTGTATATTATTTTAATAATAATAAGAATTCGTAATGAGATATCAAAAATATACATCATATTATTGAATAGAAATAATTTAACAAGTTCTTGTTGCATTACTCATCTTATTATCATACTTATCGATAACCGATTTTATTTTATCTGATCATCTAATATATAATTCTATCTACGACCAATCCTCTTCAGATGCTATTAACAATATTGCTATCTGTGAACAGAAACAATCTAAAAAAAGATTTATAATTAAACAAGAATCGATGAAAACCAAAAGCCATCAGTGAAAATGTCTTGACAATAAATGCATAATTGATACACTAAATCAAATACCAAAAATTTGTTCACACTCACATACACATACATTCATACATTCATACATTTAGATAGAAAAACCAACACCACGACTACTACGAGAACACAAACTAGAAACAGTGGAATAGAATCTTGCCAATATCAATGAACCTAAAACAAAAATTAATTTTAGATTACTACGTATAACTTATACGTAATTTTTATTAATTTATTTTTATATCCTAAATGATTGCATTATAAACCTTGGGATACTATTGCAGACATTGTTGTAAATATCCATTGATAAAATTGTATTTTGTGATATGAAACCTTAAAGCTTGAAAATACAGTGCTTTCTATAACAAAAAACTAGATAAAAAGGGCATGTGTGGG